CATAGGAAATCCGACAGATTGAGGAATCGTTCCTTGCTACCCATCATTGTGTGGTTCATAAACTCACTTGACAAGGGGAAAAGTATCTTTTTATTAATTAACGGTACGACCTTATTTTTTCTTCGTCTATGGGTCTGATGATTGGGACTTGTTGCTCTTCAGAGGAGCGCCTTCTCCACTTGTTTTATCATTTGGGAAACAGTGACCACTTCTTATCGTAACTTTGTTGAGCAGGGATTCCATTTCATGGAAATGACCCATTCAAAACCTACTGGGATCTCTCAAATTCTACCCGGAGCCCCAAAATTGAGTGTGGAATATTGCAGGATGGTCGATGTCGATGAATGAATCGTTTCCAAGGGATAAAAGTGTGTTAGGATCGGTGGCTACAGTGAACTACTGGAATTCTACGTAGAAGCTAGCAACTCATAGCAGGTGAGCTGTATTGAAGCAACGATTCAAAAATGACGGCGATAGTGTCTGAGATACACCATCACGACTGATTCTCTGACTGAATCTTCGAATACCTTTGTGATAGAATCAAACTTGTCGGTGAGAGCTCTCGAAATAATGAGTCCTTTAGTTCCGGAGATCTGGAGTAGTGGCTGTTGAAGTCAGTGGTCGAACAACCTCGCCGGTCCTTTCAATTTCTGAGCACCCTATATAGGTGACCCTTGACTGAGCATCTTTTGAGTTCTCAAGGCTTCCAATTCCGCATAGATGTCAGGCGATTACGGACCGATTATGGATACAATGGATTTGGGCTAAACGGAGTTAGCGAAACTCTTGAGTTCCACAGCTGAGAAGTAAACTCGACTCTCGTCAGCCTCTCATTACCATCACATCATGAAATTCCTTTTCTCTCTCACCTTCATACCTTCTTTACTGCTGCATGTTTACATAGTTAAATTAGAAAAAAAAAACGAAAAAAGGCGGGTCTGAATGGGCTCTTTCAGGTATCACATGATTTTAAAGGAACTTTTGTTCCTTGAGTTCACAGAGTTCATTCAAAATCAATGATAAAGGGTAAAGTCTTTGACGGTAATCAATCCTCTCTAAGGGATGCTCCCCCGCACTCGATTTCCATTTTCAAAATTCAATTTCAATTGGAAATTCATTCAAAATTACCAAAAAAATACATCTTTGCATGAAGTGCACCCTTATCGCTTACAGAGTGTTCATTGTTCGAAAACATCACAATTTGGGTGCGTGATGTACACAACACACTGCCGATATCTTGGATTGGAAAGCTGATTATCTTGTTCTACCAAGGATAATAAGGAGATTTGCTTTAAGCCTCCCCGCATCCCTTTGGTGACTCATCCGTGAGCAAGACAAGCTCAAACTCAGAACTAAAGGGAACGTTTACTGGAACTGGGCAGCCTGGGGTTGGGAAATTTCCAGGGAACCTTTCGATGAGTCCTCCACAGTAGGCTGGGGCGAAATGATCCGGTTATCGCGCGCGTTGTTGTGATTGGGAGGGATGAAGGGCAACATGGGCATTAACGACAGATTTCTATGTCCGCCCTGTTCGACGTTATTTATATATCTATCCTCTGGAAAACATTATTCATTCCCTTCACCCTGATAGTCTGTTCCTCGGTCTCACATATGAGAATGAGGATCGATCTGATTGCAAGTTCATACGACGAAACCTAGCCAGTGGTGAAAATGTCATGCTGTCGTGAGTCTATCTATTCAAAATATTTTCCCATTTAAGCTCATCTCGTAGGCCCCTTCTAAGCAGAATGGCTATTTTACCTGAAAATCGAATATCTTTTCAGTGGACTTATTTAATTATTTATTTTTCTTTGAATCTTTTTTTCCAGATTTTAACCCGAGAATAGTATGTCCGGAGCTTCATTCACGTAAACAAGTTGTTTATGGGTAGTAATCTTACTTTAGCATTATCGTAAACATCTCACTACTTTTATATTTTACCTCATAATCGGAAGTAGCTATTAATGGG